TCCTCTTGCCCCTTAATAGACGTCTGGTTCAACGTGACACTGCATCATAGACCCTTGAGATCCTTGAAATGCTATGGTTCGATGTTATTGAAAATGCTATGGTATGATGCCTTGATGTTATGTACAAAGTATGCAAAGTAAGCAAGTTTATATACAAATAATCATATGCACACAAAGCAGACAAGTCCTTAGGCTTAGGCTTGCATGGAGTCTCATAGGTAAGTATCCTCTTGAAGTTTAGTTGGCTCAACCTGTCTTAGAAGTAGTAACTGGGTTCTAAGGGATCTCAATGTCACTGATTTGTTTCCTTGAGCATTGTCTCAGCACAAGCCTCTTTAATGGCGACCGAAATATCTCAAAAATCCAAACCTCAATGAGTGTAGTATCGAGTATCTACCAACTTCGGACTGCACCAAAGCCGGTCATCTCACTACATCTTAAATGGCCAAGTTGGTCAAGTAAAGGTTCTAGAAGTTCATTAGTGCTTCATGACATCACTTAGCGGCCCCGTATTATCTTTGATTAACTCAAAGGCTACCGGTACCCACAAACATATCGCACTAATGTAGTTATTGCTTAGACTATGTCTGTATACCCCGCACAGTTTCCACAATGTATTTCTACTTACCTATAATGTATCCCAAATCTGGGAAGAGGATTCAAACCCAAACAAAGAACCATAATGTAAAGCATACAAGTCAAACAATGCAAGCAAGTAAATGTGATCTAACCCTAAGGTAACCCCACTTTTAGAATTATCCCCAGCAGAGTCGCCAGTTCTGTGATACGGTGGGAGAACTGACTTGAAGGTTTTGCATTTGATCGCAAATGTTGCGGTTAGCAAGAGTCGCCACCGACTTTTCTTTTATCCAAAAGGAAAGGTGAAAAAGCACAGGAAAGACCTTTGAGATTATTTCTTGAGTGCGGGGGGTAGATTATGAAAAGGGAAGGTATTAACACCCTTTTCATCCATGGTTTTCCATGGGCTCTTAGTTACTTGCTAGATCACTTGCTTTTGTTTGAAAAAGTGCTTTGTGTGGTTTTTGAATGCCATCGTTTAGGCAAACTTTGTAATGATTCTCGTTCGTAAGAATGTATGCAAAGTGTTGATCTTTTGAAAATGTTTTCGAGTTTGTAAGATGTTTAGAAATGTGTAGGTGTTTGTTTTGAAAATAGCAAGGAAGTTTTGTTTGAAATTGAGCAAGTAATTAGGAGCATTCTACCTACTCAAAAGTCTTTCATGTTCATTTCCTATTTCCTTTGACATTGTTATCTTACCATTGGTTTGGTAAGTAACCCTATCTTTGGATGTAAGCGGGACGGATGTGGGTCATCGTATAACCACGATCAGCAATGTGGCAAGGTATCTTAGCATTCTTTTTTAGGGACTAAGATCATTTGAAAGGCAACTTAGATAGCGTCATCGAGGGACTATGATCTTGTATTTGCTTGTTTTTGCTAAGATACCTCACATGCGTAATATGGCTAATTTGTAAAGGCAACCAAGTGGAATAACCCTAGGGGTGCTTGTGTACAAGTGTATTGTTTTCATGCTTGATTTTGTATTGAATTAGGGTTTTCTAATTGATTGGTTTTTAGTCATTCTATACAAACCCTAATTACTAGCAATTGTATATAAAGAGATAAATTGCGGAATTTAAAGTTACTATGCTGTTACAATACTTTATGGAAGGGGTGTACAAATTACAAATGGGGATTGCAAGAAATTAAAATCTAATTATCTATTACAACCATATTGAATTTCAATAAATAATGTACAAAAAATGTGAAATGGACTTGTTTTGTTTAAGAAAAGAAATAAGTTTTGTTTAAGAAAATATTTTTGATCTTTTTGTTTTAAGAAAGAAAATAAAGTATGTAAAATGTAAAATGTTTTGGTGTTTTTTTTATTAGTGAAAATAGAAGTGATAGCAAAAATAGTAAGGAAAAATAAAATAGAATCAGCGCATTGCTGAACTAAAAGAGATTAGAAGTTCTGACTCTGGCGTGCTGCAAAAAAACGGAAATCATATTAGTAGAAATAGGTAAAGTCATAAGTTCTAGGTCCGCTGGGAACAAAGAAGACTTCAGAAGTTCTGATGCCACTGGCAGAAATTCATCTCCCTCTCCATGCTAGTCAGAACAGCTGTAGCTTAGTCATTTCTCAACAAAACAGAAGATGCGCATATAACCGTTATAGCAGGTTTCATAATGTTTCAGAAACAAGAGATATCAGAACTATAAATCAGAAGCAAGCATGAATTTGCTAATCCTAATTCTGAGTCCTAATTTCTTCAAGAAGTTCTGGACTGAAATTCTCCCTACTTAGGAAAACATACATGGAATATATGAATATACTGAATCAGAGTCAGGATGTCTACATTGTGTTTTTTAACATGCAAATCTAACAATGTTTAAGTAATATGACAAGAGTTGGCAGAATCTTACCTTGCAGCTGGAAAATGTTCTGTGAGCTGGAGTCTGCTTCTGACTGCTTGTGATGTTCTGACCAGCTTCCTCACGTGCTCAGTAGGCTTGAAAATTTCAACTTGGACTATGAATGATTGGAAAATTCTAGAACAGCCAAGGAGCAAAGTTCTGACTTCTTTGAGGTGGATATTGATGGAGAGTATGTTACAGTTTGACTATAGAAGTTAGGATAGCTTTTGAAAGTATATCAAAAACTGTACGGATGGCTTTGGTCAAGAAACACTTGAGAAAAAAAAAGAGTCTGAATGCAAGAATCAAAAGCTAACAGGTTTTGTATTTTTGTATTTGCAGTTTTGGACTCTTGAAATTTTAGCAGGGGTTCAAGGATTTTTCTTTCTCAAATTTTCGACCTCTTTACAGTTGCCAATGGCTTTCAATTTATGGGAAATGATATTGTAGCTTATAGAGATCAAGGGTACAACCATCATATGCTAGGCGCTGACTTGTTCTTGAAAAAAATTCAAATAAGTATGGTGGTTAGCAGTTTTAGCAATGCCTAAGCTGGACTTGTAAGCATGAATTAAGGAAAGGTAACCTCAAAACCAAAAGCAACGTATGAGCCCAGCACAATCTTGTACAAAATTTTGCTTTTCCAAGACAGTGATGGTACCTCTATGCCACACGTGGGGAAATCCTTTAAACAAAGACCCAAAAGTGGTTGTGAGTATTAAATGATGATGAGATTGATCAAACCAGAAATCCTGCAACGTGAGATTCTGCATCATTTCTTAATTCTGGATCAGAAGTTCAGCTTCAACGTAACTTAGAATAGACATCCAACTTCTGATCTTTGTATCTCCTTGCTCCAGCATGTTCTGAAGGGGCTCTCAGACTTTCCCGGAAGCTTGCAACACGCCTTGTATACCTTCTTTGAATTGCTCTTGCAAGATCTGACTAAATCTTTGTGAAAACTGGCCCAGAAGTTGTAACCAAACTTTGTCTTAGAACTGTTCAGAATTTGCTGAGTGCTTCAGTTTCATGGATGTGTCTTTGAGGAGTCATAACTTGAAATCCCAGCATTTCTAGGAGAAGTTTTGTTCTGCAGTGTTTCAGGACTCATTGAGATCTAAAACTCTTGAGTTGGAAATTATTCCAGAATCAGCTTGCATCATGGTGATAACCTGATTAGAATTTCTGAGTCTGTCATATTTCTTAAACACTTAGAAAAATTCTAAGTATTTAGAAATTTGACTTTTCCAAAGTAATTTTGACTTTTGAATTTCTTGATAAAACAAACTTCATATTTCAACATGTCTTGATTAAATATGATTCTTGAAACTTGATTTTGATCTAAAAGTCAAAATTTGACTTTTTAGTAAGTAAATGACCATTTTACCCTTGTGAATGTCTTTCTTGGAAAATTTGTAATTCAAGGCTTGAAATTGGATGAGAACAAACCTGAGGGTCCAGGGTGATCTTTTGAGAAATGAGAGAGCAAATTTCGGGATACAACACCATGATTCTGATCGTATGCCTACGTATCCTCCTAAGAGGAATCAGAGTCCCCTTTCGTAGTTCGTGGTTGTGTTTATGTTTTTTATGGATTTGCGAAATATATTTGAATTTCCCGCATACGTAGTCTAAGAGTGTAAATAGTGGAGTTTGTTAGACCAAGGGCGAAATTGATTTAAATATATTCGTATTCTTTTTTTCTAAAATTAATGTTGAATTAATTTATCATGAAAAATAATTTAATGTTTCTTTGAGTATTTTTTAAAGCGGAGAGCGAGGGAGTCTGATATAGTCTCCTCATCATGTGGTCAGATATTGGCCACATGTCGCTTGCGGATGCAGTAATTGGTGATTTGCATGGATTTTAATTGTTTGATTTTGAATAATAAACCGATAGACGATGTGTCGACCGATTTAATTATTCGGAGACGTACATCCTATTATGATAGAATGTTTGAATTAATTAATTATAAAAGTGGTTTTATATACCAATAGGTGATGACATAATTAGTCAAGTCACAAAGGCGAAATTAACTTAAATAAGAAATATTCTAATTAATCTAGATGAAATTAATCCTGGATAAAATCAATTTAAAAAAACAAATCAAAATAAACATTTGTACTAAATGCTAAATTAGGATTAATGGAGTATGTTTTTATATTTCTATATAAAGACAAGATAACAATCCTAGGTTAATTAGTCGAGATTAATTAGATTAATAAAATTGACTTAATCAACTAACACAAATTAAATTAAAAGAAAGAAGAAAAAAAACCGACGGGGCTTCTTTCCTGTTCTCCATGAATGGGATTTTTCACAGTAACCTTATCATCCAATAATATTGCAACATATGGCCATTAAAAATAATAATTAAAAAAAATAAAAATAAACCAAATAACACGTATTCTTTCTTCATTCTCTCCCTTGTTTTTATACTCACCCTTTTTATCTGCATATTTTTAGTTAGTTTAAAATTAAATAGTTTTATTATGAGAACAACCTTAAAAACACTGCTTTGTTTTATTCAACTCTTCTAACTCTCTTTCTACTGTCTAAGATGGCACATTTCTCAACTAACCTCAAAGTTCTTACCATTCATCATGACACCATTCTTCTTGATCAAATTCAGCAAATGTGTGACCGCTGTCATTATCTACTAACCAAATGCACTTCACCTTCTGATGCTCTTCATCTTCTTGCGCAAAGAAATAATTATTTTGATATCATGTTGATTGATGTTGGAATGCCAAGCATGGAGTCCTATGAGTTTCTTAGATATATAACCCTACAACACAACATCCCTGTCATTGGTAAGTGCTTGCTTCTGTGCTTTAACTCTTCCGTCAAAAAGTGTTGATGATTTTTGTTATTGATAGTGTAACTAACATTATGATAATTTATTTTTGTAGTCATGTCTTCTGATACAACAAATACTTCTGTCGTCATGGAGTCTATAATTCATGGTGCTAGTGATTACTGGTTTCAACCTTTAAATGAAAAACTATTCAAAACTATGTGGCAGCATGCTGCCAGAAAAAGTTTAACTGAAAATAAAGAACATGATGTTCTTGGATTCTTGAAGGCTCAAAGTCACAAAGAACCTGAAGTTGTTGGAATCATGAAAGTTCAAAGCCCTAAAGAACATGAAGTTGTTGGATTCTTGGAGGCTCCTCAGCATGAAAGAAAACGGGAGAGAGAAGATGATAATCCTCCAAAAAAGAGTCGGTTATCATGGACGCCGCAATTGCACCAACAGTTTGTTAATGCTGTAAACCAACTTGGCTTGGATGGTATGATTGATTCTTTTATATTTCTTTCTTTGTATTAATTCTTTAACAACAACTCAACTAATGTGCATTGTTATATTCTTTATTTTCAGAGGCAAAACCAAGAAAGATTCTGAAAATAATGGATGTTTGTGGTTTAACAACAGCTCAGGTTGCAAGTCATTTGCAGAAGTATAGAGACTGTTTCAAGAGAGCACCTTGTGGAAAAAAGTCAAAGAAAATTCCAAGAATTGACACTCCAACGTCAGAAACTGAACATGCTATCTCAAAGGACCAAATTTCTCAATTGAACTCTTTGAATAACAGTAATATTGAAACACAACAACATTTAACTGATGTTGCCAATTATCAAGTTTCCGACACTGGTTACAATTATGAAACACAAAAGCATTCAACAGAAGTTGGCGATAATCAAGTCTCCGACATTATGAACAACGATTTTCCTGATCTATCATCTGACTGGTTCTTAGATTTAGATGATGAGTTATTATCATTATTATTCTGAAGTATATGGATTAGTCATTTATTTATAATGTAATTAACTATTCCAGTTGTTTCTGTTTTTTAGCTTTCTATTTACGAGTCAATTTTGAACTCATAAAGATGCATGCAATGGTTCTTTTAATGTTAATTTGATGAACCTTAATAATGGTGTTGTGTTTAAGTCTCAGTGTGAGTCAAGGCCTTCTTGGATTTCCGAGATTCTAGCCACTTGATTCCCTATAAGAAGAAAAAAAAATCAAACAGTTAAAACTTTGAACTGTTTAATAATATTTCTTTAAAACAATAGAAACAAATATTTAATCATAAAAATAAAAATAGAGAACAACATTGATATCATTTACCGCTTCCACTCCCATGTCAACCCCCATGGTTACCAGTGTTACGATTCTGTCAACAGGATAGCGAAGCCGGTCGAAGAGATAATGAGCAACATTTTTAGCTGCTTGAGCTATTAGAACTTTTAGATTTGTCGTTTCAAGTACAAGATTGAGGGAAGCTTTGATTAAAGCTGAAACAAAAAATGCCATATTATAAAGTTGTGCTCGTGTGCTTCAAAAATGTAACCAAAGGCTATGTTTATTTATATGCAGAAAAAGTTGTAGTTAAATCAACTTGTTCAGTAAATTTGTTTTTTTTTATAGTTAAAGGAAATCAACACATGCTTGTAATATTCTAAAATAAATTAGTCAAATTCTGCTAGATATGTTTTTTGATAAGAAATTATTCATATAAATTTGATTTTTGTTGTAAGTACTAGAATCTTGGAAAATAATAAATAAAGCACTAGTCAAACATAGATACATGCTCTGACTTTGATAAGCTTCTAAAATTCTATTCAGCTAATATTTTTTGTCAAAAAACATAAATTACTAAATTTGTGAAAATACTGTTGGATTAAATATTGTTTGGCTTGCAATGCTAGCGTTCATTATTTGAATCTATTTGTTGCATTCTTGTTACTAAAGAGAGAGGTATTAATATTATGTTTAATTACTACTAATCCCAAGAGCAAATGACCAGGTTATGTTAAGTTACATGAATTATGAATTATTTCACTTGATTTTTAGTTCCTTAAGTTCGATGTTATGTTGTGAAAAATAAAAATACAAATTAGAATCAATAATATTTTCATCGAATCAAATTTTCATTTAATCAATAAGTCATTTATATTCAAGTCTATGAAAACTTGAAGAGAAACAAGTCATTTAACTAATAAGTCATTTCAAATTTTTCATTTAACCAATAAATCATTTAGGACCTAATGGACTTTTTAGGAGAGCAAGTCAGAGTAAAGGGGTACTTATAAATGCACATAATCTTTAGAGAAGTAGAAAACATTTGGAACACTCCTAATAATGTGCATGATTAACTTCAGAAAAATTGAGGTTTTGATCGCTCATGCAGTGTAAAACAAGTCTGGTATATCATAAGCAGTTCAACGTGAATTGATAATCTTTTACTCATAGTGCTTCTATGTAACTAATGGATGTTCTTTGATATTGTCTTATTTCTTTCATTTTATTGATGTAACAAATCAGAATGTGTATGAAATTTCGTTAAGTATTAAAAATATATAGACTCTTTATGGATTATGATTTTTGAGTATAAACTAATTATAATTCAATCAAATTAATAGAGTGTTTACTTTAATTGAATAACAAGGTGTGACATTTAGGAAAGAAAAAAATCAATAAAAATAAATAAAATTATTGAAATAGTAAAAAAACTAAAATAGTGGGTGTCGTAAATAAGATGGATTTCAAGATATATTGAGGTTTACCACAATTAGAGCGGTCATTACGGATTATTCGGTCTTAAATATGTGAATTCTAATAGATTTCAAATTATTTAAATCGAACTAAAAATATCCATTTATAAAAACAAATATTATCCAAATCTGATTATATACGGATTTCAGGGACCCAAAAGATATTATTTTTAAAATTATATTTATTATAAATATAATAAAAATTACATTAGTGTAAATATAATAATTGTTGAAGTACTATATTATTTGTTTATATATTATAATATATTTTAAAATATAATACATATCTAAATTATATATAACAATATTTAAATATTTAAAATAAGAAAAATTAATAAAATATAAGAAAATAGTGAAGTAAAACACAAAATAATTGAATATTATTTGATTATATTAAGTATAATATTGGCTAAATAATAATTTAAGTATCTCAATTATGTATGATTTATGAAACTAATCTCATATTTTAAATTTAAACAGTTTTGATCGTTCTATTTTAAATTCAAATAATTTTAGTCTCTTTCATAGTTTTTCATTGAAAATTGATGATATTTTTTGTTTTTTAATTTATATTTTTATCTACAAAATTCACAAGTAAATTTATATACGATGATTTATCTTATTTTATAAATAAATTTTCATTTAAAAAATGAAAATATTATCAATTTTAAATGCAAAAATATAAAAGAAAAACTGTTTAAATTTAAAATAAGTGAATTAAAAATGTTTACATTTAAAATAGAGGATAATTCGGTGAATCAAATAAAATAAGATGACAAAAACAATTTAGTGAAACAAGAAATATTAATATAAATTATATTAATATTTAGGTTGATGGAATGATACAACATTAATATTAATATAATTTTTTTTTCTTTGGCATATTCACCAATACAAAATAACTTGTGTTTTGCCACGTGAAAGCCACGTCGCTAACACCCAAATCACGCCACTATTCAAATTTTGCCACCTTAAGAAACACGTCGCTATATAGTGCGTGGCAATCTTATTGCGGCGTGAAAAGCATGTCACCAAGTTGCCACGTGAAATTCACGCCGCAACATACTGTATAGGATGAAAGTGTGCAGAGCAGAGCAGTCACATTTATATTTACGTTAGCTGTAGCGACGTGTTTTTCACGTCACTAATTAGTGACATGAAAAACACGCCGCAACTTGTTTTATTGGAAAAAAAATTTTTATGTTTTAAATATATTAATTCTGTTTTAATAATTAATATTATTTTTTGTTTTATTAAATTTATAAATTAAATATTATAATTTATTTATTAAATACAATATTATAAATCAAATTATCAAAAACAAAACTAAATATATCTAAATGTATAAATAAATATACTTAATATTATAAATTTAATAAACTCAAATTTAAATTTATAATATTTTAAATATACAATATGATTATAAATTTATATTACACAAATAAAAAACTAAATACAAAATAAAAATAAAAATAAGCAGAATCATTAGAGTCGTCGGAAATGTCGGGAAGAAAGTCATCATTATTTTGGTGGTTATTATTTTGGCCACCACTGTTGAGATTTCTACCAAATGCTTGCATAAATTATCGCATTTGCTCCTCCATATCAGCTTGCCTCTTCGCCATTGCCTCAATTTGTCTATTATATTCACCCCTATTGCCTCCATTCGGGCATCCATTTGGGCCTTCAATGTCGTCTCACGATCTTCGGACTCGCGTCTAGCCAATTGTCTTACCAGTTCTAACTGATCTGGTGTCAAATTTGTTTGACGTGACTCTCTTTCACCATCTGCAGCTCTCTGATACATATTTCTATCCCCACTCCTCAAGGTGCCCGCCAAATTTCCACCACCAAAAAAACACCCGTTAGGCCCCTTTCTCCCAACAACTTGACTCCAAATATAGAAATCCACATCTGGATGAACCGGTTTTTCTGGAGGAGGCGTATACTGAGGATTATGGGTCAGAAATTCTACAAGCAACGCCTGATAATCCTCTTACACATACAATAAAAAAATCAAGTTAAATTTATAAGTAACATTAATGAAATTAAATGAAATAAAAATAATAATAAAAAATAAATAGCCACGTGATTGTAACGCCACAACTTATCAGTTGCCACTCAATTTTCACGCCACAACATGTCACTTGCTACATGAAAATCACGTCACAAAATTGCTTAAAAAAATATAAACATAAATTTACTTACCAGGGCTTTTTTTGTGCGCTCGTCAGTAAATCCTCCCGATTTCTTTGTCCGAGTCTCCTTAACCAACTCAGTCATCAATGGTTGTCTCCCCAAACGCTTAGCCTAAATATAAAAATTAACTTAAATTAATAATATGTTATAAATCCAAATATGACCTTAAAAAGTGGTAATAATTACCATGCGTCGAGCATGCTCAGCAGTACTAATACTTACAACAACATTAATGCAACCCCTTTTTCCGATGCCCTCATCTTCTTTGCAGTTTCAGATTTAGCCTTAAATTCATCTGATTCCCAATACTTAAGAAGTTGTTCAAAAACTTCTTTGCCTATCCATTTGGGACGAATGCCCAAAAGGTGCCAATTCTCTCTAACACGTCGTAGCATGTCAGAAAGTCGTCTTGAACTCCTCCCAAAATAATTTTTTTTTACTTTGTTATGGTTCAGAGGATCCCAAACACATTTCGCCTGCAATGTTGTATGACATTAAAATAAATAGTTAGATAAATTATAACAATAATGAAAAGGTCATTTAAATAAAAATAACTTAAGAAATAAATTAATTATACCTGAAATTGCTTGAACCATTCTTCTTTATCGGAAACTTCTCTAAAACTCCTCAAAATTTTTGTATAATTCTGCTGAATTATATAATTGATAACCTTAGCAGCAGTCCGACTCGGCCCGAAACTAAAACAACAATAATTGAATTAGCATAATTAATTATATAAAGTTATATTAAAAATGGAAATGTGTACTTATAAATAAAAATCAATAAATAAGAAACTTACGAGTTCCCTTCAGGCCATATCCAAAATCTCCCTTCAATGGTATGAATCTCACTCGGATCATCATCCCCTCGAAGCTCTCTCCCATCTATCTGATCATCATCCACACCAAGATCATCATCATCCGACTCTGTGTGGGATGTGGGGGTGCGACCATTCTGTGTGGGTCGTGAAGAGGTGGATCCTCCAGGCTGCTGGACGGATGGGGGCATCTATGTAGGAAGTGGGGTGCTGGATC